AGAAATGTTAAGAGGCTTCAGCCTAATGAAAGAAGTGGCGGCAAATGGATTTGAACAAGGTTTTGTCTTCCCAGCTTTCTGACTTTCAGGGTCTCTGCGGACGTTCTCATTTGGTAAACAGTGTGTTGTGCAGATCCAGTTGAGTCACTTACCCTTTCTGAGCCTCGGTTTCTGGATCTACACACTTGCCTCGGTATAGGTTGAATTCATTCACCCCTCTTCTTTCTTTTAGATATGTTGCAAATTTTCCTGACCCATGACAATCTTTTAAAAATGAAAATAGTATGTTTTTCTTGAATCATCTTCTTTAAAGTTTAAACATTCATGCTTTTTTATTTTATGAAAAAATAAAACAAAATTTCATAATCAAATAATGAGAGTAGCAACAGTTATTATATTGCACATCATTATCTTCAAAGTAGTTACTCAGAGTACAAGCCATAAACCAGAAAGAGTCATAAAAAAAGAAACAAACAGATAATAACACAAATCCTCCTTTTTGATGAACTAAGATAAACTAGATAAATGAAACCAGTTAGCATATCTATTAAAGTATTTTTAAAACAATGGAATTTGTAATTTAGGGAAGTATTTGAATGTCTTTCTCTTCCCTATTTATCTCTCTTTTAGTTTGTTCTTTATTTCTCATATAAGAGAAGGCATGTGATATTTGAGCTTGTGTGTCTGACTTATTTCACTTACCATCATGCTCTCAAATTGCATCCATTTATGTATGAATGCCTCAAGTTTACCTTTCTTTCTTTCTTTCTTTCTTTCTTTCTTTCTTTTTTTTTTTTTTTTGGTACCGGGGATTGAACTCGGGTCCTTGTGCTTGCAAGGCAGGCCACCGAACTGCTGAGCTAAATCCCCGGCCGAAGTTTACCTTTCTTCATGCCAGTGTAGTACTCCAGTGATCTAAGTTGCCCAGGCTGGCCTCTGACTTGCAATCCTGTTGCTCCAGTCTTCTGAGTGCTGGGATCACAGATGTGCACCACTGTACCTAGCTTTGCTTTTTAAATTGATTCTCTTCACTCCTGATTTTTGCAGTTAATCATGTGGTTGCCCAAATGTCAGTGTGATCTTCAGCAGTATTTAAAGAAGTATAGTGCTTAAATTTAAGGAGGCCAATTTTTCCCCTCTGATCAGAGCACCTGGGGAATCAAAAAATCACCTCTAAGCTCAAAGAATGGGAGGGAGGCAGATGAACAGTGAAAACTAGAGAAGGCCTCTCCCGGGAATGCATCTTGGTGGTGGAAGAACAAGAGGTCGTATGGTTATGTTCACCTGAGGAATACCAACAGACGAATGGCAGGCTTGTTCAAAGTTCTTTACCCTTGGCCTCCATTTACCCAGTTAGAAAAGTAAAGCATTGCTTTTGTCACCAGATGTGCTTTCCAAGTGTACTTCCTCTCTGCCATGCCCGTCCTTTCCAGCAAGAGCCCCTGGAATTTCTGCAACAAGGCCCAGAATGGCACCTGGCCCGGGCCAGCAGGACTCTGCCTGCGTGAAGGTTGTCCCTGGGTTGGCTTGCTGCCAGTGATAGCTAATCGGGGTATTTGGGGTGAACTCTCTGAACTCCCGAAGGATTGAAGGATCACAGCCTTGCCATGTTGGCCCTAAGCACTGATTGGATAACAATCTTGTTTTTCTGTCTCCACCAAGAGAATAAGTGATCCCAAAGCTCTGAACAATTGTGTGCTTTGATAACTTCCTGGACCTGGTGTTACTGAAGACCTAACCCTCTTCCTGTCCCTTGAAGGCAAACCACTCTGAATGCCCACTGGCAAAAGAAGCACTGTGCAAACAGCACAGGGAGAAAGAATTCTGCACTTCAGCCCTGCCCAGGCAGAGGTCTTTATTTTGAGGCTGTGCTCTCCCCTCTTGCATACAAGAACATGATTATTATCAGATCAGATGTTTCCCCAGTGCAGCCATTCCCCAGTTGCTGTGGATGATTTATTGAGTGACATCTGGTTCCCCGCCTCCTCCTTCCTCTGAAGAATGCAGTTGTGACAATAAACAATTGCAGCTTGTTTTCTCCAGTCCATGGGATTTAGTGTTATTTGCATTTGGAGGGACACAAACACTTTCTAACCCCCCTGCATTTGTAGCCCAAGTGTCTTCATTGCTTATCTCAGCATGAGCCATGTGTCATAGGCTGGCTTGGGATGGGGCCCAGGGGCTTGAGCAGCTCCTGCCTCTGTCACCTGTATGAGGCACAGTTCAGCTGGAGACAGCATCACTTATGCACCCTCCTGGCTCAGCCCCCAGTGACCTCACTGCTGGGGAATCGGCACTCAGGCCCTTGCCAAGGAGCAGGGCAGGACAGCAATCAATGTTCCAGGCACTGTTGGAACTGCCAGCAAAAATAGAAAGGGAAATGAGGGACGTGGACATTTTCTGAGCACCTCACTCAGAAGCTCACAGTGTCCTTGTGAAGACACAATATCCTGATTCTGTTCAGAAGGAGGAAACCGAGGCCAGAGGAAAGCACGCAGCAGGCAGGTACACATTGTGGGTGCGTCCTGAGCTATGCCTGTCACTGTCATTTCCCAGGGCTGCATCTAGAACCCAGAGGTGTGACGGGTACCAGGCTGAGATCAGGTCCCCCGAAGACTCTGAAGGTCCCCGCTTATTTGCACAGAGCAGTTATGTCCCCTGAGAATCTCTGGGATGGAGGGTGAGTAGATGATGGGCAAGGGGAACTGATGGGCAGTCCTGGTGCACTGGCTCAGTATGAGAACATGGGACTCTTCCTAACAAATGCAGACTTGCTCTTTCCTCTCTACACCAACAGGAGGCAGCAGAGAGCAATGGAGACCTGCTCTTGTGTGGCAGAAATGTCCACATTGGTTGATTGATTGACTGGTCCTTAATTCCCTTATCCAATTAGGGTTGACAATCCTACCCCAAAAAGATTCCTCACAAGGGTGTTGAGAGAACACTGAAATTTTGGATTTAAATCACTTTGTACACCCAATATGGGCCCGTCCAAGTTTTAAAACCTTCCCACATCTGTTGTCCTTCCTGTAAATTTGCTTTAAGCCCTTTCTAGAAGTAAGTGGGCTAGGAATATTCACTTATAAATAAAAGGCATGTCTGTTATAAAACTTTGCTTGACAGCTGTTCTGAGAAGACACTTTTTTCTCTCTTGGATTCCTAAAAAATCTTCTTGGAGGACCCTAATGGAGTGGTGAGTGGTACTCTTCACTGGAGAATAACTAATGATTCTACATCTGTGCAAAGACACTTTGGACACAGAACACTCTTATCCTCAGGGGGCTTCCGTCCACGCCAGGGTTTAAGCCTTGACTCCTTGAGTTTAAACACACATGCATGGAAGTGACATTACATTATTTAATTTTAATTATGGAAAGGACTGAGAGCACATAGACTTCACCCAGATTGAGAGTCAAAGATAGTGATAACTGAGCTGAAATCTGAGACATGGAAGGTGGTTGGAGGATGAAGAAGAAGGGGGAAAACCATTCTAGGCTTTGGGAGCAGCAAGTGTAAAGGCCCTGTGACAGGAGGTCGCAAGGAAGGCCAGTGTTCCTGCTCAGAACACAAGGTGAGATATTCACGATGCTTTTATGTATGCAAGAAAAAACATTCACTGAAATGTGGGATATATAAAAAATATAGTTTTTTTTTTAGTACTCATAGTAGATCGACGTCATCAGTGTTAGGCTCATAAAAATGTATTTAGCACAATTTTCCGTGCTCATGTGATGACACTACTCAGCATAAAGTAATGAGTTAGTGGAAACAAATTCATTTTCAGGAACAATGATTTAAGGACTCTACTGCCCGACTGAGTTTTCCTCTCAGACCTTCTGTCTGTCCCTGATGTGAGGCCGGCAGAGTGCTCTGTTGCCTCTGGACCTGGCCCAGGGTATTCTCTGGCTGTGTTTCCCGATGATCTGTCCTGCCTGTTCATTAACCTCCTGCCACCATGCTGCCCTCTGACCCTTCTCCTTCTCACTTGCTGCCTTTCTCTGGCCCCTGGGTCAGATCTCAGCTGGCCTCAGAGTCCACGAGGGGCTTGGCGTTTTCCTTAGAGCCTGTGTGATGCTCCTAGCACATTCCTCGTCCCCCTCTTGTTAGAAGGAGTGATGCTGTGTCTCGCACCAGGGCCATTTCTGTGGGGCCCGCCTCTCAGGAGACTGGGAGAGCTTCCAGGACACAGATGCACCGATTTGGATCTTGCCTTTCCCTCTGATCTTTTTGGATCCCACTGTGTTTGTTGTGTGGCCCATCTAGGACTTACTCGATCCCATTTGAATCAATAGAGGAAGAGGAGGAAGACCCCCTCCAGGGATCTGGGTTTGATGAGAAATTTCTGGAGGGGGTCGTTTCTCCACTTACAAGTGAGATCGCTTCTTTTGATGTGTAGTTAAGAGTATTGGTCACAACCTAGATGTCTGGAAGAGGGGATTGTGCACACAAGTTCGGCTGAGCATCTGGGTGTGTCTGGAGAGATCAGCCTGGGACAGGGCCAGGAGTGAGGGAAGGGGGAAGTCACTGAACAGCCCTAGGGTTTCTGCCATGTGCCACGGGGAAAGGAAGTTGAGGCCTCTCTCAGATGAACAGCGGTTTCACGCCTAGGCCCGACCCAGCTGCTGGAGCACCCTCAGCTCTGGATTTCAACCCTGGGGGGCACCGGAAGAGCAGTGATGGGAAAAACGTTTGTTTTACAAGGAGGCAGGAGCATCTGTGTGGCCCAGGGAAGGGGTGGTTGCTGAGTCACAGATGGCAAAGCAGGGCTGTCCCAGGGTATCTGGGTCGGGGTGCAAGGCAGGTGGGCACAGAGGCGGCCACCTGGGCAGGGCGAAATAGAGAAGTGGCCCAGAAGGGTGACAGGGCTGTGATGACAGGACAACAGTTGAGACTGAGCAGTGACAGAGAAACAAGCAAGAGAAATGGTCATCAAGGTACCAGTGAAGACGAGTGACTCCGGGAGAGCAGATGGGTGGTTTTTATTTTCCTCTTTTTGGTTCCTCTGTATTTTCCAATTTTTCAGGAAGAAACGTGTTGCCTTTATAACAAGAAAAAAAGAATGAGTTATTTTTAAAAAAAATCAAATCACAGCACACATGTTGCCTGGGGACATGCTTAGGAGAAGAGCCATTTTAAACGGAGTGGTCGCCAAAGTACAAAGTGTTCCAGCGGATCTGCGAGAGGTCCCTCCTCTCCCTACATGCATGCAGGGGTCAGGCCTGTGCCCGTGCCCGTGTGGGTACCTGTGAGCCTGTACAGGTAGCTGTGCCCCCTGCAGCCTCCTTGCATCTTCGGCCAGTTCCCCGGCTTGGCTTCTTCAGCAGCTGCCTCTGTTCTTTCTCCACTGGGGTGGAGCTTTGCCTGACAAGGGCACGGGGGTCCGGGGACCAGGCAAGGCTGGTGTCAGGGATGTGGCCACAGCCCCATCTTCCGATGCCAAGGCATCGGTGCCTAAAGCTCTGAAAGTCACCATTGTACTACTCCCCTCATCTCATCACCCACCGCCCCTTCTTCTTCCTGTTGCTTCCTCCATTTCCGGTCCGAGATCAAGTCCTGCCTCAAATCCCAGCAAGCCTGGAGAGGGTCCTAAGTGCCTACCAAGCCCTTGCAGCCCAGTCTACCCTGGGGTGTCTTCTGTACTCTGACCTCGGAGTGAGGCCCTGGGTGGAGGACCCCACCCTCTGGGAGTGGTGCTCCCACTGGTCTCGTGGACCCTCGTTCTCACTGCTGTACTTGAACAACTAGGTTGGACCCACTCCTCAAGACATCTGCAGGAGCCTCACTCATCCCTGGCAAGGCAGGCTGTGGCTGAGAGGACGACCCTCACCTTCGTCCAGAGAGCCTACTATTTGTCTCTTGCTCTTCTCACTGCCCCCAGCTCATCTGGTACCACTTTTCCCTGGTGTTCCCTACACTACTTAAGTGACACCCTGGGTCTGATCTCCCTGTGGCTGTGGTGTCTCTAGACCAGGTCTACTCCTACTGAAACCCCTAGGGGGACCCCCTGGGCTTCCAAGGGAGGGAGATACCCAGTGTGCTCTGTAACACAGTCCCCGACCCGGGGCCCTTCTGATTCCTCACTTGGGGCCCTCTGCACTCCCATGCCCTGTCTCTGGATGCCACACACTTGGCCTTCAAGCAGCTGGGTCCCAGGCCATCTCTCCTGTCTGGACACCTTTGACCTTCCCAGGACCATACAGCACAGTCCCGGGGCTCTGGAGGGGCTTTCCTGTCCTGTGTCCCTAACACTGGTCGGGCCTGGGTCTGCCCCAGGCATTCTCACATTAATCCTGTGCTCACTACCATCCTACCAGGCACACAGTTACGGTGGAGATAAAGAAAGTGAGCAATCACTTGCTCACGATGGCAGTCGCTTGCCCTGGTAAGGGGTCAGGGTTGGTGCGGCTTGGACTTGAGCACCGGGGTCCTGACAGTGCCTGTCTCCCCATGAGAAGTCCCAGGGCAGAGAGCAGCGACAAGAGGCGGTGTGGCTGGGGGGTTGGCCTGGAGCCTGGCCCAGAGCTGGGGCCTGGTGCCTGCTCAGTCCCATCAGGTACACACCAACGAATAGCGCACGTGGACACTCACTCTGGTCCTCACAGCAGTGACACAGGTCCCGGTGGGAACAGAGCTACTCCAGGTCCCAGGGCATGCTGCTGTGGGACTCAGGGAAATCTGTTCGGGACCAGGTGTGGGCTCCGCTTCTCAGAGGGTCACTGCAGTGGGTAATGCCTTCCTCTGCACCAGACATGCTCATAACTCGTCACAGTCTGTACCAGGGTACTCAGGGTGCGCTGATCAGCAGAGCCCCTGGGGCCCTGTATGTAAACAGCACCCACCAGGTATCCAGACTCTGAGTACATCCTTTATAATGAATCATGTTTGGATCTTCAAAGTGCAAACCAGATAAACTCTCCCTTTCAAGAACCTTCAGTGTCTCCTCAGTGCCTCCCGAATGAAGCTCTACATTCTCAGCTGAGCTTTCCTACACTGCGTGCTCCCTGTCTTTTCACTGTACCCGTAAATGTCCTTGGTATCATCACAGTCAGTGTGCAGGGACTGCTTGCTATGGGGAGGAGTAGAGTCAGGTGTGAGGGACACTGAGGTCCTGCCTCAGTGTTACCCGCTGATCTGTGTGATGTTGGGTCCATTGCTCTACAACACAAGCCGTTTGCAGGACAGCGAGCTCTCAGCCACAGGGGCTGGAGTTTGGGAACTGGGTCTGCAGAGGCCCCATGCCAGGGAGGTTGGGGAAGAGTGAGGGGTGCCTGGCCCTGCAGTGGGGTCGCTAGGGTCTTGGGTCAGTTTACTCCTCCACCCTCCTTCAGCCCAGCACATTCGGTGTTCTGTTCCAAGAGGGTGGTATTCTCCTCAGACTACTTCAAGGGCTGCCTCAGTGCGACCCAGAAGTAGGTTTGTGTAGTCCACATTTTATTTCTGAGGCCTGCCTGCACTTTGGTGGTTCCTTGGGGACACTCTCTCTCTTGGTCCCCGAGTCTGGGACCAGAGCACCGTGCTGTGAGGGAGGCCCAGGCCCCAGCTCTGTTGTGGACCTCAGTGAATATGACCTTCATGAGACAGATGTTTTCTACTGGTGGAAGAAAGAAATAACGACTGTGCCAGGACCCCCACTTCCAGGCCAGACGGCAGCGGCCAGCACCAGCTCCACCATGCCCTTCTGAGAGCA